GGAATGAAATAGTGACCTGGATTGTGCTGGGTCAACTTGAAAGAATTCGATTGCTTAATTTGGTCTTTGGATTGGGTGTACAAATACATAACAATTGTAGAAACTTGGACTGCGTCTGTACTTTTACAAAGCCGTGGCTGCAAATACTAATACAAGCCTCTACACATTTTAATATTTTATAGTTCTGTTCCTTTGCTTATGGAAAATTGGTACACATTATTGCATGATCTGTAATTAATGCCTGTCCAGTTGAATTTTATTTGAGTAACAGAAATTAAACAAATTAATACACATATATGTTAATAAATACTTGATTTTATTAAAATATATGATAAGTACAATTTTTATTTAAAATGTTCTTATGAAAGAATAAAACAATCATGATTCTTCTCTTGAATTTTTTTTTTGCCTTGGTTTAATTATAAAATCAAGTCAAGATTTATACTTTACTAAACATAAATTAAAAAATACATATATTACATAATAAGATTTGATGATTTTATATTTTGTTGAAGAGCTTTTATAAAATATTTATGCTTTATTTAACTTGAAGCGTGGATAAAGAATGTTTGAGTGTGAGAGAGATTTTTTATTTAAAAAACTTATCTTGAAATTTTTTTTGTATTTCTAAAAAAATTCTTGTCGTGTATATAAGTATATAAGGTAACGTCTTTTATTTATAGAGATTTCTAGAGGCGCTTGGGTTTTTATTAATTGATTTATATTTATGATTTTTTTTTCTTTTCTCTTTTCATGATAGAAAATATCATGATTTTCTCTCCTTATATTTGAAAGACAGGAAGATGGGAGGAATGAAAATAAATTTTGAATATTTTTTTTCTACTGAGAAGGAAAGGAAAAGAAAGGGAAAGAAAAGAAAAGGAATGTATATTAGAAGAAAACTACATTGATATCCTTTACTATTTCTTTAGGTAAGATTTTAAAATAAAATCAAGGGCAAAACTCAAATCCTAATAATTCGAAGCAAACTTTTCATCCCGCTTCTCTCCGAATTGAAGAAATGTTTGACTTCATAATGTTGAAACCTATTTTTTATTTTTATTTTCTCTCCTTTTATATATCTGAAAAAAAAATGAAGATGAGAGGAATAAAAATACAGAACTATTATTTTAATATGTTTACAAACACAAATAGAGTTTCAGAGCCTAATTGAAAAGGAAAATTAAAATAAGGAGTAAAATTTGCACATAATATAAGGACCAAATAGTTTCTAATGGAGAACTTTCTTATAAAAAAAATTAAGTAAAAAGATCAAAACAATTTTTTCTAAACATTATAAGACTAAAATGAAAATCAGTAAAAAATGAATTATTATAAAATTAGTAATAATATAATATTTAAAAAAAAAATTTGCATTTCCCTTTTAGAAATAAAACTACATTTAATTTTTATTTTAATTTTTATACTCGTCTTTGTTCTTATTTTAATCTCTTCTAATTACAAAAACTTTAAACACGTGGGAAAACTATTATATGCATGCCGTGATTCATTGTGGATTATAATCATCAATTGATATTTTTACCTTTGATAAAAAAATAATTAAGTTGGTCGCGTAGGGTAAAATGATTTTTTTTCACAGAATTCATTTGTCATTTTTTGTTTGTAAGAGGCAGCTCTGTCTTTTTTTAATTTTTTGCACAGTTAAATTACACGCATACCCTTAAAAGCAATAAAAATAAAAACACTTGCCTATGATCAAGGGGTATTTTTGATTTTTTACTTTTATAAGTATTGTGAAATGGCCTAATTGTCTTTTGGGGAATGGCTTCATGGGTTTTTGTGTAATTTCATAAAGGTTTTTTCATAGTAATTATTTAGTTTTAAGATCAATTTTGTAATTTGATAAATAGAACAAAATGAAAATGAAAAAAATTGTTGACATGTTTGTTGCAGACATCTCTTTAAGTGACTCTAGCAGTTAAAAACTTTAATTTGTAATGTCAATGGATTCTTCACGACATCTTCTTCCTTAAGCAATGCATGTTGGCTGTTTCTCGACGAATGGTTGCGGGTAATTTTTTTTTTTTCCTTTTCTATCTCCACTCTTGAAATTCACACTAATCATTTAAAAATTTAAGGCAATCCCTTTAGTTGTGTTTTTTTTTTTATTATTGTTATTATCTATCCTCATTCTTTAGATTTGTAACTTTTATTCTTGGTCTATTGACAAATTTTCAATTTTATTTTTCAATCTAAATTTATTATATTTTTGTTTTTTAAATTTTGGTCTTGATTCTTTTTATTTCTTAAATTTTTACTTACCTATTTTATGAACTTTTGATTGTTTTTAATTTTATTATTTGATAAAAAAAATAATTTTTTTTAAATTCAGTCATTAGGTTTTTGGTGGTTTCTTCTTTTAATTATTTCGTAAAGTCAAATTTTCTTTTCATTTTATCATTTTTTTAATTTGATCTTTATTTTTTTAATTATAATTTTTTTTCTTTTGAATATTTTGTATAATTATTTTTTTTAATTTTATCATTTAAAATTTAATTTATAAGCTAACATGGGACACGAGTTTTATAATCTAACACATATTAATATCTTTTTTTAATTTATTTTCTTTATCTCATCGACATTGATTTTTTTTCCTCCACAAAATAGGCTTATAATTTCTTCATTTTACTTTCTATTAGGTTATATTGTTTTCATGACCTGACCTATAAGTTTAATAGGTTAATTTAAGTGAGCTCACATCTTCTTCTTATTCTTCTTTTTTGCTTTTAATTACTTTTTATTTTTTTTGAATCCTTTTGCGTAGCTGATTTTTTAAAATATTATATTTAAATATTTATTTGTTGAGAATTAAATTTTATAATTTTTTTTTATATATGATGTTTTTAGTCCAATGGCCTAGGTAACAAATTTTATAAGCTAACGATGGTTTTTTTAAAATAAATTTCATGATTTTCTTCATTTTTGTCTGTATCAAGTTGCCTAACCTGTGGATTTGATGGGTTGACTCGAGTGGATACAAACCTTTTTTTAGCTTATAATTTCTATTTTTTCATCATTTTATATGATTAATTTTTTCTTTTAATTTTATCCTTTAACGTTTGATTAGTTGAAAATTATGATTTTATATTTCACAAGTTGACATTATTTGTATGGGCGTATCCTTTTTGGTTGGAAATTAAGCACAAGTTTGAGATTTCATGGGTTATAATTTTGAAATATTAAGGTAGGTATATGAGATTTATCTGGGTTTACTTGGTTTTTAATATTATTAAATTAAGTTGTCTTTTTTATGTTATTAAAAAATTATTCAACCCAATCGACTCAATGACTTGAGTCTTACATTTCTTTTACTTTTTTAGAAATTCTAGCATCGTCTTAACTTTGTTCATCTTACATCTAAAAAACTTTAGCTGGACCCGCGACGTTAAGTTGAAGATCAATATAAGTTTACTTTGATTATTTTTTTTGTTTTTTTTTCACTTTCAGCCTCTAATATTTATTTTATTATAATTGAAATTTTTACTTTTTCTACGATGTAGAGATTCCATGGTTTTATTATGATCTTACACCCCAAATTATAAATTGTATAGGTTAATCATTATTGGCTCAGATCAATTCAATATGTCACATTTTCAATATTAAAAGAAAAATATGTGCTATTTAATATGTTATTATTTAAATATTTAAAAAATATTTCAGTTATTATTCATTAAAAAAAGGCTGAAAAATATGAACAAGCTACAAGCTAAAAAATCAATTCAACCTAAATAAAGTCAAAATGAAACTTTTACTCTTGTTCCTATTATTAATTATTTTTTCTCGGTCACCAATCATAATGTCTTAATGAAGTTTACTAGAAGAAAAAATTAGCAATACTAAAATGATAGTTTTCTTAGCTCAATTAAGATGAATTTTATATTGGACAAGTAGTACAAATTATGAAACATGCTTGATGATTTTTCTTTAAGAAAAAAAAAAGAAAGAGATTTACAATGCCATTATCTGGGATTAGAAAGAACAGATGCTGGCAGCTGTGCCGAAGAAATGTGGTGATTAGCAATGGGAGAAGCTATTAGTGAATGTGAGAACACATACACCAAGTTTGTATCTACCTCCATTACACCATCCAATATCTTCACAATCGTTGACATGAGAGGCCTTTTTTCTGGGTCATCCTGCAAACACCAAGCACCAATCTTTATCATTCTAAGCATTTCCTCCTTATCACTGTGCATGCATGCATCTACATTTTCCACAATGTCTATGAGTCTATCTTCTTCAGCTTTATTCTGCAGCATTCTAACTAAATGGAAGTCAGATTCTGGCAGCGAGTGATCTACGTTTTTTCGTGCACAAACTATTTCCAGGAGAACAATTCCAAAGCTGTATATGTCAATTTTTTCCGTGATACGTCCTGGTGGTAGCTTACACAATTCTGGAGCAATGTATCCAGGGGTTCCTCTCATTGAAACTTGTACTTGTCCCGTTTCTACATCGATGACCTTAGATAACCCAAAATCAGAGATTTTGGCATTGAAATTTGGACCCAACAAAATGTTCTGCGGCTTTATATCGAAATGAATTATGGTCTGTCGACATTCTTCATGGAGATAAGCAAGCCCTTTTGCAATGTCAATTATAATCTTCTTTCGCGTCTGCCAATCAAGGAAAGGTCTTTGATCATTCTGAAAAATCCAACTATCTAACGATCCATTACTCATGTACTCATATACTAAAACCTTGTATGATTTCTCTGAACAAAATCCTATCAACCTCAATAAGTTAGAGTGTTGCAGGTTTCCAATTATCTCAACTTCTGTTAAAACTGCCTTCTTTCCTTTGTCTAGTTTATCCAAACACTTCACAGCAACTCTTGTTCCATCAGCGAGTACTCCTTTGAACACAGATCCGTAGCCTCCTCTTCCAATTCTTTCCGCGAAATCATCAGTCGCAACACGTAGATCTTCATACGGAAACCTAATAGGCATTTTTGCTAGAACTTCCACAATATCCTCCTTCGTAGTTTTGGACTTGCGCCACAATTTCGAAATGATGAGAAGACCGCCACCTACGAGTCCAGCCACAAATGGTGCCGAACGTCTTCTAGGAGAAGCATTACGCATTATATCTGGCAAAGGGCTTGGTGTTATCTCCCGGCCTGTCGATGGCTGAAAATTGTCACCGATAATAACTGTCGAGTCTCTGAATTCGACCTGTATGAAGATGGTATTTGTTAGAGATCTTCACGTACGTATGCATCTAAGGAGTATGTTATAGTTTCTAGCAAATAGATACATGATTACAAATTTCTAATAATAGTATATTCACTTAAGGGTCAGGACAGTAATAATTAATTATCGATTAAAAGAAAAAACTGAGGTTGCTTTGTTGTCGGAGTGTGTGTATACAAATAACCATTGAATATGTTTACTTTGTTGTAGGAACAGAAAGAAAACAAACAGGATGTTTCTGTTATTGCTAGCAGAAAATCTTGATGCTAGCACTTGAACCCTACTTATATATTATCAAAAATCGTGATTGCTTAGTTTGATATCGGATTAGCTCTTCACATGTGGCTTGTTTAAATTAATGGGTTCGCTGCAAAACCATTTAGATCGTCTATAGTATTATCATAGTGGTTATTTTTTAAAGTAATTTTTATGTAAAAATATATAAAAATAATATTTTTTTATTTTTAAAATTTATTTTTGATATTAATATATTAAAATAATATAAAAAATTAATTTAAAATAAAAAAAAATCATTTAAAAAATACTTTTGAAATGGAAAAAAAATTAATTCTTAAATGGCTAAAAAGCAAGGTCCGATTCAGCAATATTCTCCCTTCTTTTTTTCTTTTTTTGTTTATATTTCATCTTACAATTAACTCCTTCCATTGTTATGATAAAGAAAAACACGCTTCCAATGTTATTAACTAAATTCAATACCACATTATTAAAAATATTTCTTTAAGCTATTATCGGAAGAATTCTTCAATGCTTAGTTGGCTATTCAATGTCAAAGCTATTAGGTTTATGCTAATGCAATAATTTTGTTACATATTACTTTGTATCTGGCGGCGCCATTAAAAAATGCAAATGGGATTTGAGCTTAAATGGAGGGAAAAGGGCTCCTGAGGGCTTTAGCCGTTTCTATTTCAAACAAGTGACACAGAACATGAAATGAGATTTGATTCCTGAATCTCCCAAACACAAATATCAAATAAACTAAAGAAATAGCAAAATGGCCCTTTTTATGCTTGGTCCAACCTGCACAACATATATAGACCTTACTTAAGAATATAAAATATTCTCTAAGATTATCAAAGCACCAAAAACACACCCTACACTTCTACTTGTTACAATTAAATCCAAATTAACAAGCCACCTATATATATATAAGGTGCCCAAAGTGAATCTCCAACTCCATGAATGGTAAACTCACCCCAAATCAAAAGAAATTTTCATGTTAATAAAAAGAATTTAAACAAGTTTAAGGACGAAGCTGCAACAAGCAACCAAATGTACAGATTTCACTTAAATACATAGAAAATGCAAGGCAAGGATAACATGGAGACTCAAATAAATCATGACAGAAAATAAATTGGAAACTAAGATAGTCCCAATGTTGCCATAGCAGTTCCTCAATGCTATGTTGATATAAATATATTGGTTAAAAAATAATATAAATTACATTCTATAATCTTATTTAAAAGTGTTGAGTTGAGATAGTTCTTTGATATAGTATCAGAGTCTTAATAATCAAGTAGTTATGAGTTCAAATTTTACAATCCATATTTATTTGATAAAAATAAAATATAAGGTAATGTAAGTATTTACAAGTTTCAAGCCTAAAAACTTTCATTTTAGAAGACGTGTTAAAAAATAATATAAATTATATCTTATGATTTCACCTAAAAATTTAAACTATTAAATTGAGATATTTCTTTGATAATATTAAATTTGAATTATTTCATAACCTTATATATATAACTCGATTTAAAACTTGAGTTACAAGCTAAATGAATTAACTTAGATTAAACTAGGCCAACTCAATTATCATTGTTTTAAGATTTGATTTTTTAATTAAAATAATATTATTAAAAAAATAAAAATTTAAACCGGTTTTAATTAAATTAACCGAGACACAACAAGTTAAGTTTTATTTAGTTTAATTTCAAATCCAACTCTGACCAGGAGCTATATCAACAAGATTCTAGAATGATCAATCAACCATATCAATTTTATCTGTCCATTCAAGTCTGGTGTAATAATACTATAACATAATATAGAGTGCAATATTTCCTTCTCATTAAAACCCATAATTTAAGACAAACAGAAGCAAAACTACATTGCTGAACTGGAGTTTTGTTTTTAAAGTGCCATTCCAACACGACAATATACTTTAATTAAAATAAATTGATATCATGCTGGGATGGTTTTGGCCCATGATTTGGGATATCAACCGAAAGTAATTGACTTGACTTCCACATTTCCATTTTTTATTTTTCTATACTCCTGGCAAGGGACACCCTCGCAGGACCTGTTGAGAAGACCTTATAACCAAGGCAGCACCCACATGTAACTCAAGAGACCTCCTCTGTGTAATTTTTATCGAGACAAATCTAGAATAGTATAACAAATGCAGATGTAATACTTAAGAGTTACAATCTATAGTGTCTGAGTGTACTTGGTAATAAGATGTATTTTGTTTTTATAAAAGAGCTTTTAAATCAAAATAAATTCGAAATTATATTTTTTAAAATAAATTTTTATCACTATATTAAAATTATTTAAAATCATATAAAAAATATTAATTTGAAATTTTTTTAAATGAAAAATAATTTGAAAAACAGAATAGCATGAAATCCAAATATACTGAACAGGGAGATTGTTGCCTCCTAATTTTCTAGTCCTATAATCTATATACCAGCCTTTTAAAATTAATTTTTACATGAGTGTGTTTGTGCATTACTTAATTTATATATCCTTTCGCTTTCCTCTTCGAGAAAAGAATAAAGTGCAAGAAGAAAGGCAACTGTGGAACCTGGGAGAGGACTGACTCTGCCTTTAACAAGGAATGAATGATATTTTCAAAGTTTCGAAGCATAATGTTTAAAAAGCTTAAAATCCCGTTTATTTTTATTGTTTTAAAAATGTTTTAAAAAAATATTTTTTTTATTTACTTCAAATTAATTATTTTTTTGTGTTTCTCAATGGTCTATTATATGTATTCAATATTTTTTAGAAATATCCCGATAATATTTTAAAATCCAACGTATTTAGGAAAGAGGATTTTTTAAATACGTTCATATTAATGTTTTTTCTTCTGAGTTCAAGTTAATGATTAGTGATAAAAAATACCTACAAAACAATTGTTTTTTGTGGAATTTAGAGATTCTCTAATGATAAATGGTGGGATTTAGGGATATTTTAAAGATAAAATCAATAATTTTTAATAAAAAAAAAATTACAATAAATAAGAGGATGAACTTTAAATTCTTAAGAATAATAATATTTTTTGTTAGTTGTGTATGATAAATACTCTATAAAATAAGAGTATGAACAGAGATTAACAAAAATATAAATCATTTACTGAGTAGATAAAAGGGTATATATAGTCTTTGAACTTTGTCATGTTACTTAAATAGAGGAGTTGACGCATTAATTTTATATATATATATATATATATATCATTGATGAGGGATATATATCTTTTATACAATATTAATAAATAATATATATTATTTATACAAAATTAATGTAAATAAAAATATGATAGGTCATATGAAGACTTTTTATATACCTAGAGATATAGGAAGATAATTATTCTGAACTTTAATATTTTATATTAAAAGATATAAGAATAAATAAATAAACCATATTGCCCAACATGGAGTTTAAAAATATTATCAACTTAATATGTATTGGGTTTGGATTCATTCTAAACTCAAGGGTGATGAGTCTGACACCTTGTTAGATTTATATACATTTGAATTCAGTGCATAGCTAAACCAAAGATAATTAGATTTGACATTTTACGAAACTCACATACATTTGGACTCAACACGTAATTAAATTCAAGATAGTTGAATCTGGTGTTTTACATGACTTACATACACTTGGACTCACACGTAGCTAAACCCTAAATAGTTTAGTATAACATCTTACCAAATTTATATAGATTTGAGCTCAGCTTGTAGTTGAACTCAAAAATATTTGAGCTGGACACTTTACTATCCCCCTCCACACTTTACCACCCCCGCGCACGCGCACACACACACATAGACTTAACAGTAGCTAAATCCAAGAATGTTTAGGTTTGATACATTATTGAACACATGTCTTTAGGACCACAATGATATTTAGGTTTGAATATATGTCTTTGAGCATGTGGCTGAACTCAAAGATGATAGATTTAGAATCTGGTCAAATCTAGATATACTTGAGCTCAATACATAGCCGGACTTAAAGATTTTAGATATGATATTTAACTAAAACCATGTGTATCTAGTATTAACTTATAGTTGAACCTAAAAAAGTTTGGTCTAGTATTTTATTAGACTCACATACATTTAGATTCAATACACTGCTGAGCATAATAATGTTGGATCTAAAAGTAAATCAGACTCACGTCGTTGTTATATAAATTGTTATATAAGGTTGGCTTCCTTCTAAATCTAAATGTAGTGGGTTATTATCATGTCTTTAATCCTTTTAAACATGAGCTTTTAAATCAACATATCTAAGATATATTAATTCATTACAGGCTATAAGTTTTAACCAAAAGTTTCTTTTTATTTTTTGTGCTAAAAAAATGAGAGGAAGAATAAGATGCATAGCTTAAACTTTTGTGCTAAAAAAAGTGCTAAAAAAACTAGTATTACAGCACACAGAAACCTTGAATTTTTCAATCTTGGTAGAAAAAACATGAAAACTGAGAAATTCTGCATTAAATATTAATAAAAACACTTCAGAGAAAGATTGTGGTGTTAATAATGGAGATTTGTTGTAGGCAAACCTAAGATAGTTCTGAATATTCAGTTATAGATCTGTCATCACTGAATCATGCAAGAATTCTAGTAGAAGCGGGATAACTGAATCATGCAAGAATTCTAGTAGAAGCGGGATAACGCTGAGCCCAATAAAAGAGATGTTTCACGCCAAATAAATAGCCTAAAAAAATTCATAACTTTCCATCTGATTTTTTAATTACATTCAAATTTGGTTTGGAGATTCAATAAACTCAATTCTATAGAGGTTCGGCCTAAAAAAAGCCCCTTTTTTCCCCTAAAAAATGATAGAAAACCCATCTCAAATTTTCTGCAGGATACATCCCATGCACTCTTCTAAAAACTCTCATAGTGCCTGGTCAAGGAGCCAACGACTTTGAATAATCAAATGTTGAAAATTCTGAAGACTATACTCCAGTACACCGGCAAACTACTTGAGACATGTCAATACCTTGCTAGACAAGTGCTAAAAAAGTTGTGGTTAGCTTAGGATAGCATGATGGAAAAGTAGCAGAAGCGACAAGAAGCATGATAAATTTTATTTCTGCCAGAAGAGAGAGTCTTACAACCACATCATCTAGGATTGGAAAGAACAGATGCTGGAGGAGGTGCTGAAGAAATATGGTTGTTACCAGCTGGAGAAGCTATCATTGCATGCGAAAACCGATAATTGATGTTTGAATCTACCTCCGTAACACCTTCCAACACTTTTAAAACTGTTGACATGAGAGGTCTTCTTTCTGGGTCATCTTGCAAACACCAAGCAGCAACCTTTATCATCCTCGTTATTTCCTCTCTATCACTCCGCGTGTATTCATCCAAATTTTCCACAATGTCTATTACTCCATCTTGATGGTCACCTTTCTTCTGCAACATTGTAAGCAAATGAAAGGCAGATTCTGGTTGTGATTGGTCTACATTTCTGCGTGCACAAACTATTTCAAGGAGGACAATTCCGAAGCTATATATGTCAACTTTTACCGTAATACGACCTAATGGTTGACGCCATTCTGGAGCAAGATATCCCGGTGTTCCTCTCATTGAGATTTGAACCTGGCTCATATCTCTATTGATTAGCTTGGATAACCCAAAATCAGCGATTTTGGCATGGAAACTTGAATCCAAAAGAATGTTCTGTGGTTTTACATCAAGATGTATTATGGTATGTCGACAGTCTTCATGAAGATACGCCAGCCCTTTTGCTATGTCGAGTATAATCTTCTTCCTGGTCTGCCAATCAAGGAAAGGTCTTTGTACATTCATAAAAATCCAACTATCCAACGATCCATTGCTCAAATACTCAAAAACCAAAAGCCTAGAGGATTTCTCTGCGCAAAATCCAATCAACCTCACCAAGTTAAAATGGTGCAGACTTCCAATTGCCTCGGCTTCTGCTAAAAAAGCACTCATTCCTTGGCCTCGTTTCTCCAACCTCTTCACAGCAATTTGCGTTCCATCTCCCAATTTTCCTTTGAATACAGACCCGAAGCCTCCTCTTCCAAGTCTCTCGTTGAAATTATCAGTCGCAACGTATAGTTCTTGGTATGAGAACCTGACAGGCGTTCCTGGAACATGCTTTATATGATCATCTTCCACATCCTGCTGATCTTGTTCAGACTTCCCACACCATCTTGCCCTCAAAATAAAAATCACTACAAAAGAAATGGTAAGAATAACACTACCTATAACTCCTGCTATAATTGGTACCAAACTTCTTCGAGTTCTAGGCCTTATTTCTTGTGGCGAAGGGCTTGGTGGTTTTTTAACTTGTGGGGAAAGGCTTGGTGCTATTATCACAGTTGGTGATGGCGGTGGGGAAAGGCGTGGTGCTATTATCACAGTTGGTGATGGCCGTGGGGAATGGCGTGGTGCTATTATCACAGTCGATGATGGCGGCGGTTCGGCAGAATATGCAGTGGTGTTTCCTGTGATGGACATGTAAGCATGTCAAAGAACAGATGTATGATTTGTGGATGAATTGTGTAGGCAATAATTTCTTTCAATGTAGTACAATATATATAGAATGTGTCTTTGTGGTCAACTAACTTCTATTTGTGCAGGCTTTCTTAACTTCTCATCAAACAAATTACACCACTCCTAAATGTTAAAATGATTAAAAAAAATACCAAACTCAAAAAACTATTAGAGTGAAAAATGGTAAATTTACCTGCACAGAAGACAATTTGGTAATCGGATGTTGCACAACTGAAGGTACCAGTCTCATCGTCAAGAGGATAGGTGTAAGTGCTTGGACACTTTTTCTTAAAATTCTGGGAGTAAGAAGTAGGCTTGCAAGTCGAAGTTGTTTCATATACACCAGGACAACAATATTGCTGTGAACCAAAGGCCTCACACGCGCTGCGGCACCCCGCAATCTTCCCATCAGAACTATTAACCGTAAGTTCTGAAGGACAAACGCCGTTCAAATCCACCACACATCCTGCATTTTTGCAGGTCTTATTAGAAGGCAGAACAAGCAAAGGCAGGTTGTAGCCATCAAGAAGACTAACATTAAAAAAATATCGTCCATCTCTGTTAATCTTGAACTCTGCCATCGTCGCAGGACTCGAGCCAGCTGGCACTGTTGCACATTCTATTTTGCCAGAGCCGCAGTCGCCTGTGATGCAGGAGAATCTTCCTGTATCATCTTCAGTGCAATGTGTGCGACCCCATAAACGACCAGCCCAATCATCCGAGGTTGTTATGTCCTTCCAGTCATTCTTTCCAAGGGAAAAACCAGTTGGGATCGTCGGGGTGACATAAAAGAGAGGTCTTGGATCATATGTTGAGTTTATTCCTGGCCATATAGTGTAGTCACAATTGTTTAATATTCTTAAAGTTGCTGAAACAACACCTGCGAGCAATAACATAAGATAACAGCTTAATTGTGTTCAAGAATTAGTTATGGGAACAGAAAAATTGTGATAGATTGCTGTACCATACCTGATACGAATAAATGAGCAACCAAGAAAGGAGATAAATGCATAAGCAACTTCAGTAGTGACATTGAAGCAGAATTAGTTTTTAAGAACAAGAACAACAGAAATAAGAATTTTGGATTCCAATTAACAGGGTTTCTTTTTCTTTCTTTTTTTCTTTGGGCTAAGCTTTATTTGAAGGTTTCATGAAGAACAGGATACGTCTATTACGCGTAGGGGACTGACAAATTGTGAGTAGAAAAGTTTGTGTTGAAAGTTCTTCCAAAGTCATCCATCTACTTTTTGAAAATAAGGCTAAAAGAGACCCCACATTTTTTACTATGAAAATGATTGGTTGGCAACATTTTAACCATGAAAAGAATTAATATTAATGTCAAGAGGCTACTTTTAAATAGTGGAGTTTCATAAAGATGATTTTAAATATTCATCTTATTTCTAAATGTAAATCAAAACTTGAGAAGGTTCTTTGATTCGATCTAATTTTTTTTATAATCTAATTTGTTTGTGTTTTAAGATTAGAAATGGATATATATATATATATATATGAATTTTTATGCATATATTTTCAGGAGAAAACAATTTTAAAAATTGGGTTTTTTTATTTAGAAGAACCCAAAAACTGACTATCCAGCTGGGAAGTAGAACAATGCATCAAGGATGCTTACCAACTTCTAGCTCATCTTTCTGGAGGCCATGCCAATCTCTCACCCTTAATCATTTGCGAAACTTTTGGCATTTGCAGGATTTTCCTGACTCATAATTAATCAGCCTTGAACACGTCCTCCACCAATCAGTCATATCAATGCCGCACCCATCCCCATCGCCACTCTTAATTCATATTTTAATAATTTTCCTTTTTTCAATTAAAAAAAAAACTTGATAGATCATGAGCTGCACACTCTTCTTCTTAGAATTTCTTTCCATCCTTAGAACGATTCTAATCCAGAGCTTTTAAATTAAATATATGAAATCTTAATTAATGAATTACATTCCTAAAACTTAAATTGAGAGTTTACTCAATCTAAAACTTGTGTTTTGACTTTAGCAGGATGTTCCACTTGTTATTGAATCAACTCAAATTATAATTTAAAAAAAAAACTTAAATAATATAATTTCAAGGATTTAAAAAAATAAAAATAATATTGTTTTAAATTTTTTTTTTAGAAAACAAAATATCTCTTTGATTAAAAAAATAAGTTCAAAATAAAATCTAACTATGATCTGATTTTAAATTAGCAAATCACCAAGTGGCCATAAAACTTAGTCTAATAAAGTTTTATAATTATATATACAAACATTTCAATATCTTGAATTATACTCCCTTATCATCTAAAATTAGGATCTCTCGTGATGCAATACAAATTCTATCATTTGAGGAAACTAGAAGAGGTGTTGGAATTCAAACAAGAAATAAGGGATGGATTGGTGCTTATGGGTATGGACATGTGACCATAAATCACATATTCAATGGTTTTTAAAAAGTATTTATTGTTATATTTTAAAAGTATTTTTAAACTATTTTAATTTTTTATTATTTTTTTGTTTTAAATTAATATTTTTTATGTTTTAAATCATTTTAATATGTTGATATTAAAAATAATTTTTAAAAAATAAATAAAAAATATTATTTTGCGTTTTAAAAGCATGTTTGAAAAAAAATTAAAAAATTATTTTTTTGCTTCAAATTAATTGGTTTTTTAATGTTTTTTGATCGTTTTGATGTGCTAATATCAAAAATAATTATTTTATTAAAAAAATATTTTTTAATACATTTTCAAGCGAAAAACACTTCGAAAATCAACCACTACTACTATCTAAAACACCCTCTAAACATGAAAAATAAACCACAAAGAAACTTTTTTAATGTGGAAAACGACTGAAATTTTCATAGTTTGTGATAGGTATTCAACACTTTCTTGAAAACAATGTCGATAATATTTTAAAATCCAATATACTTAGGAATGAAGATTTTTTTAGTGTTTAGATAAAAAGTGATTGAACATTCATGTTAATGCTTCCTTCTCCGAAGTTCAAGTTAATGATTGATGATAAAAGATTTAGCACCTACAAAACAATTCTTTTATTTGGGATTTAAGAATTTTCCAATAATAAAACCAATGACTTTTAAGAAGGGATTATAATAAATGAGATGATGAACTTTAAATTCTAAAGAATAATAATATTTATTGTTAGTTATGTATAATAAATGCTCTGTAAAATAAGAGAATAAAAAAACAATAAAAAAATAGTAATCATTTACCTGAGTAGTTCAGATGGTATATATAGCCTTTAAATTTTTTCATGTTGCTTGAATAGAGAAGTTAGAGCAATATTTTTTTTCCTTATATTATTAATAAGGGATAAATTTTTTTTACACAATATTAATAAATGATAAATATCTTTTACATAAAATTAATATTAATGGAAATATGATAAGCTCTGTGGAGACTTTTATGCACCTAAAGATATAGGAAGATAATCATTACTGACTTTAATATTTTATATTAAAAGATATAAAAATAAAAAAATAAGTCCATGTGACCCAACATGTAGTCTAAAAAGATTATCAACTCAATATGTATTGGGTTTGGAATGATTCCAAACCCAAGGGTGATGGGGTTGATATCTTGTTAGACTAATATATACATGGGCTTAGTACATAACTAAACTCAAGGTAGTTAGGTTTGGCATCTTGCAATACCCACATATATTTAGACTTAACATGTCGTTGAATCGAAGGTTGTTGGATCTGGCATCTTTCCTAATCTACATGCACTTGGGCTCAGTGCGTAATTAAACTCAAGGCAGTTGAGAATGGCATTTTACCAAATTCATATAGACTTTGGCTCAACTCATAGTTAAACTCAAAAATATTTGAGATTGACACCTTGCCAAACCCTCCATATATACTTAGACGTAACGGTAACTAAAACCAAGTATGTTTGGGTCTGACACATTGTCGAACCCATATGTCTTTAGGGTCAGTGCCTAATTGAACCCAAGGATGTTTGGGTTTGACATATTGTCAAACTTCTATACTTTTGAGCTTAATGTGTGGCTGAACTTAAGGATGTTAAATTTAGAATCTAGTTTGACTCATATGTACTTAGGCTTAGTTTATAACTGAATTCAAGGATATTAGGTCTAACATCTAGCCAGAACCACATATATTTGAGCTCAACACATAGTTGAACTCAAGGAAGTTCAGTTTAGCACCTCTTCAGGTTCACGTGCACTTAGGTTTAACATATAACTAAACCTAAAAATATTGGACCTAAAAGTAAATCAGATCCATGTCGTTGTTATCTGGAGGTAGCATCTTGCTAAATCTAGATACGTTAGGTTATTACCATGCTTTTGGCCTTTTTAATTACGAGCTTTTAAACAAATATATTAAAGATATATTGATTCATTACACGATATAAGTTTTAACCAAAAGTTTCTTTTCATTTTTTGTGCTAAAAAAATGAGAGGGGGAATAAGAAACTATGCATAGCTTAAATTTTTATACTAAAAAAGACTACTATTACAGTACACAAAAATCATGAAATCTGAGAAATTCTGCATTAAAGATTAACAAAAACATTTCAGAGGGAGAATGTGGTATTAATAATAGAGATTTGTTATAAGCAAGTCTAAGATAGTTTTGAATATTCAGTTATAGATCTATCATAATTGAATCATGCAAGAATTCTAGTAAAAGTGGAATAAAGTTGAGCCCAATAAAAGACATGTTTTCACGCCAAATAAATAGCCTAAAAAAATTCATAACTTTCCATCTAATTTTTTAATTACATTCAAATTTGGTTAAGAGATTCAATAAACTCAATTCTATAAAGGTTTTGCCTAAAAAAAGCTTTTTTTTTCCCTAAAAAATGATAGGCAGGTGAAAACCATCTTCAATTTTCTATAGGATATATTTCATGCATCTACACGCATATGAAAAACTCTTATAGTGCCTAATCAAGAGCCAACGACTTTGAATAATCAAATGTTGAAAATTTTAAAGGCTATACTCTAGTACACCAGTATGTTAAATAATATTTATGTAGTATTATTTATTAAGAGTAGAATAGTATTTTTAGTTTGACCTATATATACTTTATTTGTATTTAGGTTAAGACTATGCACTCATAATAAATAGATTATTGAGAATCCTAACCTCCTTTTTGTGTTTGTTCTTAGTTAATTTAACATGGTATCAGAGCTAGATTTGTGAAACAAGGCTTAATCCTGAACACAATTTCACGGATCCAACTCTATGGTGAGTTAGCTGGGGGTTTAGTATTTCATCTTCCACTTCTATAAAAAAATTTAGAGGGATATTTTTTCTTTTTCTTTAATAAAATTTGGTATTTTATCAGTTTCTGTAATTATTTTGGTATTTCATCTTCCCTTCAGCTTCTGTAATTTGGTGTTTGCGTTTAGTTTTTGCAAAAACAAATTGCGTTTTAGGGTTATCGTATAATTTTGAAAAGATATTTGTTTAGTTTCTGTAATCTCTGTTTAGTTTCTGTAATTTGGTATTTTGTTTTCCGCTACTTTTGCATTCTGGTTATCTATGATTGTTGATTATGGTTATTGAAAAAGATAATTCCCTTCAGTCTGTGAGTGTGAGGTTGGATGGAAAAAACTATTTGTATTTGAGTTATGTAATGAGAAATTTTCTTAAGGTTCAGAAGATATAAAGGTATGTTAGTGGCACTTATATGATACCTAAGAATATTGAGGAGGGGAATGTTATTTTGATAGATACATCGAAAGAAAATAATGTAAAGATCATTACTTAGATCAATAATTCTATTAAACATTCAATAGATACGCAGTTGGTGAAGTATGAGATAGCAAAAGAGGTTTGGAATCATCTGCAAAGGTTATTCACACAATCAAATTTTACAAAATAGTATCAATTAGAGAATGACATACAAGCTCTTCATTAAAAGAATATGAGTATTCAAGAGTTTTATTTTGCTATGACAGATCTTTGGGATCAATTGGCTCTTACATAATCAGCAGAATTAAAGGCATGTAGTGCCTATATTGAACGTAGAGAGTAGCAACGATTGATGCAGTTTTTAACAGCACTTCATAGTGATTTTAAAGTACTTAGAGGTTCAATTCTACATCGTTCTCCACTACCTTCTATTGACTCTGTTGTCAGTGAGTTATTACCTGAAAAAATATGTCTTCAGTCTTATTCTGAAAAGGAAATTCTTTCTGCTTCAAATCCTTCTATACTAGCAGTACCTTCTAAACCATTCTATAATCATTAAAATAAGCCTTACACAAGGGTTGGCTTCGATAAGTGTAGTTTTTCTAAGTAGAAAGGTCATTGGAAGGCTCAATGTTCTAAGTTCAGATAGCAGAATCAAGCTTGAAAGTCTGGCATTCAATCACAATCTAATGCTCATATACCACTTCAGGGTTATAAATCACCACACCACAATATTGCAGCAGTAGCTTCCTCAAGCTCTATTACCGATCTTAATATTTTAGCTGAGCAATTTTAGCAGTTTCTCTCCTTACGGTCTCAAGCAATGTCCGCTTCTTCTTTTATAGGTTAGTTGTCTCATAATTCATCAGGTATGTCACACTCTGAATGGGTCTTGGATTTTGATGCTTCTTATCATATATCTCCAGATTCCTCATTTTTTACCTTTGTGTCTTCTTTATCCTCTATTCCTGTTATAACTGCTGATGGCACTCATATGTCCTTAACAGGTATTGGTTCTGTTATCACACCTCACTTGTCTCTTTCTAATGTTTATCTTATTCCAAAACTCAAATTGAATCTTGCGTCTATTGGTCAAATATGTGATTATGGTGATTATTTAGTCATGTTTTTTGGTTCTTTTTGTTGTGTACAGGATCTACAGTCTTAAAAGCTAATTAGGACAAGCTGTACGGAGAATGGACTATATATTTTGGATGAATTAAAAGTGTTAGTTGTTGTCGTCGTCGTTGCTACTAATATTGTTGATTTGTCTTCCTTTCGTTTGAGTCTTTCATCTTCTAGTTTTTATTTATGGCATTCCCGTCTAGGTCATTTTTGTCTTCTTGTTTGAGATTTTTGGCATCCACAAGATTTTTAGGAAATTTGAAAACTTGTGACATTTCTAATTGTTGTGGATGTAAACTGGCAAAATTTTTCATTTTACCTTTTAATTAAAGTATTTTTGTTTTTTCTTCACCATTTGATTTGATTCATTCTAATGTATAGGGACCTTCTCCTATTGCCACAAAGGGAGGGTCTCGATATTATGTCTCTTTTATTGATGATCATACTCGTTATTATTGGGTTTATTTAATGAAACATCATTTTTAATTCTTTGAGATATATGTAGTTTTTCGAGCTCTTATCAAAACTCAACATTCTGTTATGATCAAATGCTTGAGGTATGATTTAGGTAGGGAATACACCTCTAATAAATTTTTCCAATTGCTTGCCTTAGATGGAATCATCCACCAAACATCATATACAGATACTCTTGAATAAAATGGTGTTGCTGAAAAAAAATATAGACAGATTATCGAAACTGCTCGTTCTCTCTTGTTATCTATTTTTGTTTCTAGTGAGTTTTGGGGAGAAGCTGTTCTTACTGTTGTAAGTTTGATTAATACAATTTCATCTTCTCATAGTTTGAGTCTAACTCCTTTTGAAAATTTATATAGGTATGTCTTTGATTATTCCTCATTTAGAGTTTTTGGTTGTACTTGTTTCGTTCTTCGTCCTTATATAGAACACAATAAGCTATCCTCTCGATCCACTATTTATGTCTTTTTGGGTTATGGTGAAGGTAAAAAGAGGTATCATTTTTTTTATCCAATAACTCAGAAACTTTACGTGTATTGTCATGTTGTCTTCCTTAAGTATATACCTTTTTTTCTATTCTATCCACTACTCATAGCCTAACTAAATCTGATTTTATTCATATAGATCCATTTTCTGAGGATTCTGGTAATAATACCTCTCCCCATGTTCGATCAATTTGTACTTATAACTCTACAAGTATTGGTACTTTACTTTCTAGCATACCTGAAGCTCCATTCTCATCTATAGCCCCCCAAGCTTCATCTAAGATTATGGATCCACCTTCACATTAGTCTATTCATATTTGTAAGTCCATAAAACTACCAAATTTTGCTTATTATTGTTATTCTGTATCATTTAATTTTTTTTTAGCTTCTATTCATTATCTTTTTAAGCCCTCTTCCTATAAAAAGGCAATTCTTGATCCGTTTTGACAACAAGCTATAGATGAGGAACTTTTTGCTTTGCATAAAACAGATACTTGAGACATGGTTCCTCTACCTCCTGGTAAGAGTATTGTTGGTTATCATTGGGTGTATAAGATCAAGACTAATTCTGATGGGTTTATTGAGCGCTACAAAGATAGGCTAATTGTAAAAGAGTACTCTCAACAGTATGGTATGAATTATGAAGAAACATTTGCCCTAGTTGCAAAAAATAACTATTATTCATACTCTTACTATCATAACTTCGATTCGTTAATGGCATATTTCTTATATTTATGTCAAAAATGCCTTCTTAAATGGAGATCTTCAAGAAAAAATTAATATGACACCCCCTCCTAGTATTTCACATGACTCTGGATATGTTTGTAAACTTAAGAAAGCATTATATAGTCTCAAACAAGCACCCCGTGCTTGGTTTGAGAAATTCTTTATTGTGATCTCATCTCTTGACTTTGTTTTTAGCAGTCATGATTCTGCTCTTTTTATTAAGTGCACTGATGCAAGTCGTATTATTCTATCTTTATATGTTGATGTTACTGGTGATGAAATTGATGGTTTTTCAGTTTTGAAGACAGAGTTGGCTAGACAATTTGAAATGAAGGATTTGGGTTATCTTCAATATTTTCTAAGTATTGAGGTAGCATACTTATCAAGAGATTACCTTCTTTCTCAGTTGAAATATGTTGTAGATATTCTTGAGCGGGCTAGAGTTACTAATAACAAGACTGTAGATACTCTTATTAAGGTTAATGCAAGGTACTCTTCTTCTGATGGTTTACCTTTGATAGATCCTACTTTATACCATACTATTGTTGGGAGTTTGGTATATCTCATCATTACTCGTCCAAATAATGCATATGTTGTTCATATTGTTAGTCAGTTATTGCTTCTCCTACTACTGTTCACTAGGCAATTGTTCTTCATATTTTACGATATCTTTGGGGTATAGTTTTTCAGAGTCTTTTACTTTCATCCACTTCTTTCTTGGAGCTACGTGTATACTCTAATACTGATCATGATAGTAATCCCACATATCGCAAGTCTATTACTGGGTTCTGTATATTTTTAGATGATTCTCTTATTTTTTAGAAGAGCAAGGAATAATCTATTGTTTCTCAATCATCCATCGAAGTAGAATATTGTGTCATGGCATCTACTACTAACGAGATTGTTTGGTTATATTGATTACTTGCTGATATAGGAGTTTTCTTTTCTCATCCTACTCTTATGTATTATGACAATCAAAGTTCTATTCAGATTTCTCACAACTCAATTTTTCATAAGCGAACTAAGCATATTGAGATTAATTGTCATCTTACTCGTCATCATCTCAAACATGATACCATTACTTTGCCTTTTGTTCTTTCTTCCTTGCAGATTGCAGATTTCTTTACCAAGGTGCATTCCATCTCTTGTTTTTGTTTTCTAGTTAGCAAACTCTCAATACTTGTAATTGCCGCATCATGAGTTTGAGATGAGATGTTAAATAATATTTTTTGTCTTGTTTATTAAGGATAGAATAGTATTTTCAGTTTGAACTATATATATTTTATTTATATTTAGTTTAAGACTATGCATTTAAATTAAATAGATTATTAAGAATTCTAATTTATTTTTTTTGGTATTCGTTCTTAGTTAGTTTAACACAGCAAAGTACTTGAGACATGTCAATAGCTTGCTAGACCGGTGCTAAAAAAGCTGAGGTTAGCTTAGGATAGCATGGAAAAGTAGTAGAAGTGATAATAAGCATGATAGATTTTATTTCTGCCAGAAGAGAGAGTTTTACAACTACATCATCTAGGATTGGAAAGAACAGATGCTGGAGGAGGTGCTGAAGAAATATGGTTGTTACCAGGTGGAGAAGATATCATTGCATGCGAAAACCGATAAATGATGTTTGAATCTACCTCCATAACACCTTCCAACACTTTTAAAACTGTTGACACGAGAGGTCTTCTTTCTGGGTCATCTTGCAAACACCAAGCAGCAACCTTTATCATCCTCGTTATTTCCTCTCTATCACTCCGCGTGTATTCATCCAAATTTTCCACAATGTCTATTACTCCATCTTCATGATCACCTTTCTTCTGCAACATTGTAAGCAAATGAAAGGCAGATTCTGGTTGTGATTGGTCTACATTTCTGCGTGCACAAACTATTTCAAGGAGGACAATTCCGAAGCTATATATGTCAACTTTTACCGTAATACGACCTAATGGTTGACGCCATTCTGGAGCAAGATATCCCGGTGTTCCTCTCATTGAGATTTGAACCTGGCTCATATCTCTATTGATTAGCTTGGATAACCCAAAATCAGCGATTTTGGCATGGAAACTTGAATCCAAAAGAATGTTCTGTGGTTTTACATCAAGATGTATTATGGTATGTCGACAGTATTCATGAAGATAAGCCAGCCCTTTGGCTATGTCGAGTATAATCTCCTTCCTGGTCTGCCAATCAAGGAAAGATCCTTGTACATTCGTAAAAATCCAATTATCCAACGATCCATTGCTCAAATACTCAAAAACCAAAAGCCTAGAGGATTTCTCTGCGCAAAATCCAATCAACCTCACCAAGTTAAAATGGTGCAGACTTCCAATTGCCTCGGCTTCTGCTAAAAAAGCACTCATTCCTTGGCCTCGTTTCTCCAACCTCTTCACAGCAATTTGTGTTCCATCTCCCAATTTTCCTTTGAATACAGACCCGAAGCCTCCTCTTCCAAGTCTCTCGTTGAAATTATCAGTTGCAACACATAGTTCTTGGTATGAGAACCTGACAGGCATTCCAGGAACATGCTTTATATGATCATCTTCCACATCCTGCTGATCTTGTTCAGACTTCCCATGCCATCTTGCCTTCAAAATAAAAATCACTACAAAAGAAATGATAAGAAGAACTCCTGCTGTAAATGGTACCAAACTTGGTGGCGTGTCTTGTGGCGAAGGGCTTGGTGGCGTTATCCCTTGTGGCGAAGGGCTTGGTGGTTTTTTAACTTGTGGGGAAAGGCTTGGTGCTATTATCACAGTTGTTGATGGCGTCGGTTCTGCATGTCCTGAAGAAACAACTGTCTTGTTACTTTTCAAGGCGTTGTATCCAATTGTGTTTCCTGTGATGGACATGTAAGCATGTCAAAGAACAGATGTATGAATTGTGTAAGCTATAATTTCTTTCAACGTGTAGTACAATATATATATAATGTGTCTTTGTGGTAAACTAACTTCTATTTGTGCAGGCTTTCTTAACTTCTCATCAAACAACTTACACCACTCCTAAATGTTAAAATGATTAAAAACAAAATACCAAACTCAAAAAACTATAAGACTGAAAAATGGTAAACTATCATTCTTTCCAAGGGAAAACCAGTTGGGATCGTTGGGGTGACATAAAAGAAAGGTCTTGGATCATATGTTGAGTTTATTCCTGGCCATATAGTGTAGTCACAATTGTTTAATATTCTTAAAGTTGTTGAAACATAAGATAACAGCTTAATTAATTGTGTTCAAGAATTAGAGATGGGAACAGAAAAATTGTGATCGATTGCTGTACCATACCTGATACGAATAAATGAGCAACCAAGAAAGGAGATAAATGCATAAGCAACTTCAGCAGTGACATTGAAGCAGAATTAGTCTAAGAACAAGAACAGCAGAAATAAAAAATTTGGATTCCAATTAACAGATTTTGTTTTTCTTTTTTTTCTTTGGGCTAAGCTTTACTTGGAGGTTTCATGAAGATCAGGATCTGTCTATTACGGCGTAGGGGACTGGCTTTGTGAATAGAAAAGTTTGTGTTGAAAGTTCTTCCTATGAACACAGACCCCTCATTTTTTACTGGATAGGGCAACCACTTTCTTGAAAACAAGGCAAAAGAGACCCCACATTTTATTGGATGCTCTGAATTAATTTATTAACTCTAAGAAAAATAAATATGTTGCGTTATATTTATGATAAAAATAAATAAAATTTATATCCCCTTATTTTATTTGGTCCCTATAATTTTTTTATTTTATATTTTGATTCTAAGCTTAATTTTTTTTATGTCTAAGATACTATATGGAAATTATCTCAAAACAAAAAAGACAAATAGTAATTAAGAGGAGACTAAGACAAAAAAAAAAAGATATATATATATATAAAATTGTGTTCGATAGTGTTATACAAACAGAGAGTTATTGTCTCCATATTCTTATTGTGGATAATACAGGATAAAATATAAAAAGTTTGTTTTACCCTTATTATATATTATTATCAAACTTATATGTTTAAAAAATAATTAGATATTTTTTTAATTTAGTTTATATTATGTGTTGAAATTAATAATATTATTATAACTATAATTATTAAATTTGGATTGGCTTGGCGACTTACATGGAACCCAACTAACTTAGAGTCTAATCTAGTTTGAGTTTTAAAAAAAATAGAGGAAGAATTAACCCGACTTGACTTGGTAAAAAACCAGTTGACTTTTTTAAAAAATGGTCAAAACAAGGTTGTTTTAATTCTTTTTTAAAAAAATTATAGGTTAACTCAAGTTGATTTTCTTAACTCATAACTCGAGTTTTAAACTATGATAATAATTACTTTTATCTATATATTGACTCAGGTTAACCCTGATTAACACTCTTGACCGACAACTCAAGTCTTACCCTAAGTCGACCCCCAAATTAAATTTTAAAATTATTATTATTATTATTATTATTATTATTATTATGTTGACTCATTTCAACTCAAGTTGGCCTTTTTAGCCTGTGATTCGGGCCATGACACAAGATATAAATATTACTTTAATTCAAATCTTGAGTTGAGTTTTAAAACTATAATAATAATAATCATTTTTATTTATGTGTTGACTCAAATTCACCTTAGTTACCCTCATAACTTGCAACACGAATCTTACTTAGGTCAACTACCGAGTTAAGTTTTATAACTATGAAATAAATATTTTTATCCTTACATTGATCTAAATTCACCCGGGTTAACCCTCCTAACTCGTGACCCAGGTCTTGTCTAAAGTTGATCCTCAAGTCAGGTTTTAAAACTATAATAATAAACACTTTTATTTTTACTTTTACTCTCTCAACCTGTGACTCAAACATTACCCTAGATTGACTCTTAAATCAACTTTTAAAACTATGATAATAGTAATTTTTATTTTTAAATTAACTTAAGTCAATGGTCAACCTAACCTATGGTCTGACCTTTATCTTGGGTCGAACCCAATTCGAGTCTTAAAACTAATAACAATTTTTATTATTATATTGATTTGGGTCAACCCTAATCTTAACCTAGGCCTTGCCATTGACTGACCACAAGTTAAGTTTTAAAACTATGATAATAATTATTTTTATCTTTACATATCTTAGTTTGATAATTTTGAAATTAAGAGTTTTTTATAAAAATATTTTAAAAATAAAAAAATAATAAATATTATCTATAGAAACATGATCTTTTTACCTTTTTATTTTGAAAGTATAAAAATTCATTTTAAATTTATCTTGATAATAAATTTATTTTTATATTCTTATCTCTATATCCTCAACCAAATATATTTTTGGATTACCGCGATGTAGCTAGAGGGAGAGAAAGCCACCAAAAATAAATAAGAGAAAAGGATTGGTAGGCGACATTTTAGCAAACAAAAAAAGGATTAATATTAGTGTTAATAGGCTCGTTTGAAAAGTTCAGTTTCATAAAGATAATTTGAAACTTCATCTTTTTTCCTAAAATATAAATCAAAACTTGACAAGGTTCTTTGATTCTATCTATTTTGTTTTTTTTTTGTAATCTAATTTGTTTGTGTTTTGGGATTAGAAATGGATATACATATTACGAATTTGTATGTATGTATTTTCAGGAGAAAACAATTTAAAAAATTGGGTGTTTTTATTCAAAATATCCCAAAAACCGACTTTCCAGCTATTGAGGTGGCTGGGAAGTAGAACTATGCATCAAAGATATTTACCAAATTCTAGCTTATCTTTCTGGAGTCCATGCCAATCTCTCACCCTTAATCATTTGCGAAACTTTTGGCATTTGCAGCAATTTCTTGACTCATAATTAATCAGCCTTGAACACGCCCTCCACCAATCAGTCATGTAAATGCCCCCACCCATCCCCATCGCCACTCTTAATTCATATCTTAATAATATTCCTTTTTTCAATTAAAAAAAATAAAAACTTGATAGATTATGAGTTGCACGCTCTTCATCTCAGAATTTCTTTCCATCTTTCGAACGGTTCTAATCCAAAGCTTTTAAATTAAATATATGAAATCTTAATTAATGAATATATTGAGAGTTTACTCAATCTAAAACTTGTGTTTTGAGTTTAGCGGGATGTTCCCCTTGTTAATGGATCAACTTAAATTATAATTTAAAAAAAAAAGCTAAAATAAAATAATTTCAAGGATTATTTAAAAAATTAAAAATAATATTGTTTTAGATTAAAAAAACAAAAATATCCTTTTCTTTTGTTAAAAATATAATCAATTCAAAATAAAATCTAATTATCATCATATTTTAGATTAATAAATTATCAAATTGATTCATAAAACTGGGTTTAATAAAGTTTTAAAAACATTTCATTAACTTGAATTATACTCCCTTCTCATGTAAAAATAGGATCCCTCATGATGCAATACAAAAATTTATTTATATATTTTAAGGGATGGTTGTCACTCATGGTCATGGACATGTGCCCATGAATCACATCTTTTTTGTTTAATTTATTTATATATTTTAAAAGTGTTTTAAAAAAATTTATATTTTCATTATTTTTTGTTTTAAATTAATATTTTTTTATTTTTTAAAATTATTTTAATATACTAATATCAAAAATATTTTTTAAAAATAAAAAAAATATTATTTTAATTTATTTTAAAATAAAAAAATTTATAAACAAATTACTTTTAGATTTTCAAATACTGCAATTCTAGCCATTGTGACTGCGCCTATCAGGTTAAAAAAATAACAACATAGATAAAAAATTTTAAGGAGTGGTTGGTTAATTAATGAAATTTTGAATGTATTTTTTAACAGTTATGAGTTTGATTTTTTATAAAATTATTAAATATCTATAAGATTATTAATTTTAATATTTATGTAATTATTCCACGCATATAAACTAGATCCAGCATTAATATTAATAATAATAAATAAATAAAAAGGAAAAACCAACACCTGTACAGCCACCACGCAGCCACCTGAATTCCCCCGGCAAGATTTCATCAAAATCAGAGATCTCATTTCTCTGACGCAAGTCCTTGCCCTCCCATGGAGAAATTCTATGCAAAGTGATAAGCACGACCATATTTCCTCCTTATTTTATTTTATTTCTGAGATTGGAATATTTCCTTTTATTTTGTAGTCCTGTTCGTACTAAGAACCCTAACCTAAAGTTTATTCAGGTAATGAACACAATGAGGATTTTATTCTTTAATCCCTTTACAAGCCTAGATTGATTATTATGATTTATTTAGCACGTTCTTGTGTACCTCTGTTCATTTAAATTAATCGATATTCTTTTCTTGTGAATGAATAGTGCTCATGATATTATTATTATTATTATAATAATTAAATCAACTTCATTTCAAAGCAACAATTAAATTATTTAAAGGGTTTTTTTAATTAAAAAAATGTCAGAATATCTCTTGGTGAAACCTCCTAGAGAGATTTCATGTAAGCTTTATACTCTGGAACCTGTCCTTTCATGTTTCTCTTTTGTCTCGCAATAATATGAAAACGATAATGCCTGTAGGCCAATTCCAAAGACTATCTAGCCAATATTTAAATGTTTTCTTCTTAATCTCTACTTTATATTGCTTTTTTATTTCAATTATTTAATGATATATTTGAAGTGAGGTTGCTGTTGTTTTACTTAAAAAAGTATTTAAATATTTTTTATTTTTAAAAAATTATTTTTAATATTAATTGATTAAAATTATTTAAAAAAATAAAAAAAATATTAATTTGAAGTAGAAAAAATAAAAATTTCTAATTTTTTTAAAAAATACTTTTAAAACTCAAAAATAAACAAGCCTTATTAGTTTTTAATACTAAACTTGTGTTATTAAATCTCACCCAACCTAGCATTCAACCTAATAATTTTTATGGTTGAAATTTTAATCCAAACTAGATTTTAAATAAATTTAAGTAAAATTTAATCTTAATATCATCTAACTAATCTGAAAAGTTAATATATAACTCAATCAAAAATCTAGTTTGATTTTATAAAAATAAATAAATTCATGTTATTTTAACTCTTATATATATACATATATATATATATATATATATCTTAAATGATTTTGTTTTATATTGATCTGATTTCGACTTATAGCACTAGTCTTTGACTAAATTATAAATTAGATCATGAGTTAGGCTGGATTTAATTACTCTGACTATAACTGATTAATTTATTATTAATTATTATTTTTATTTTTTATATTAGTTTTCAAGTTTTAAAAAATAAAAAACTAAAACTTGATATTTTTTATTAAAAAAACTAATCAACTACAATTATCATTGTTTTTGAAAACTATATTGTTAGTTATAAAAGAAATTGACAACCTTTTATGAACTTTTTTTTTTAAATATAAATTTTTATTTTTATTTTTATTTTTTAAAATAAAAGGTGAGAATGATATATCAAACCATCTCTAAAACAATTTCATTGAGTTTTGAACAATCAATATTGAAAAACCATAAAATTAGAGTTTGGTAAGAATATTTTTTTTTTGTATTTAAAAAATAATTTTTAAAATATTTTAATTTAGTTTTTAGATAATTTTA